TATGCTTACCGCCTAAATTAAAGCGAATGAAATGATTGAGTAATTACAAATAATTTTATTGTCAAAATGCGCACATTTTATTAAATGATCTTAATTCTCACCGACTAAATATACGAATTAAATGAATTGAAAAGTATTTCGTGATAATATTTGTGCATATATTAAATGCGTAGTAGATTTAACTCACAGACTGAATAAATGAAAAATGGTTAATACTTATGTAACTAGATACAAGTTTTAAATATTCAGAATGCTGCAAATGGAAACGGAATATTTACTTAGCAAGATATAAATTTATCAATTTCGATTGTGACCCTATGATGTATTTTTTTTTACCCGGGAATCCCAGGACGTCGGTGATGTGTTTTATTAGATTTGACTTTGAGATTACATATTTATGTCGAAAATTTAATTTATTATGATTATTATGATGTATTTTTAATAATCAAAATATACAAAATGATAATCATAGTGATGGCTTTTCATATGAGATCATATCAAGTAAATAGAGATTTTTCCGTTTTCCTTGGCAGCATTCAAATGATTTATACTCACCGGCTAAGTTAAACGAGCGAAATGAATTTCATTACATTATCTTTTATTTCAATGCGTATATTAATAAATAATCTTCATACTTACTCCCTAATAATTTAAGAAAGTTTTTATGTTTAAAAAATTACAGTATAATGGCCGAAAAATTAAACTTTTTAAATTTTGTTATACTTTTCAAGCCAATATTTGAATTTGCCATAATCTTCTGAAACGCCAATTCCGTATCTGTAACAAAAAGCAGTTTTAAACAATCCAATTGAACAATCTGCTTCAGCTGATTTCTTGTAATGTTCAAATGCTTTGCATTTGTCCACCTCAGTTCCAATTCCTAAGTAATAGCAGAGGCCAACTTGAAACATTGCGTTAGAATCTCCCATGTCAGATGATTTTTTATAGTAGGTGAATGCTGTTTGTTCATCTTTTTCAACGCCTACCCCATGTTGATAGCAATAACCAAGATTATTCATTCCTCGAGAGTGCCCCATTTCAGCAGATCTTTTAAAATGAGTGAATGCTTCATATTCATTCTTCTTGTAAAGATAGTGATTACCAAGTTGAAAAATATCATCAGATGAAATCGACATTTTCGCAAACTGTCTAAAAGTTGTCGTTTTATGCTTTCCAAATATTTATTACCAGAAATTAATAGTATTCGAGGTAATGTAGGGGATTATGTTCACAAATGCAGAAATAAATCTACAATCGTTTAACGATTTTATTAGTTCCAATATTCCACGAGCGCGGATTTGTGTTATTGTGTAATAGGTAATATCTAAAAACCAATTAAAATGTCACTTTTAAAATTGTGAAACGTGGCTTAGTCATCTAAAGTCAATTTTACTTATCGTTATTTGCGTGAGTAACGCAAACCAAAGGAAATCGGATTTTGTAAATACTAAGTGCGTAAAAATAAAAGTTTAGGATTAAGACGTTAGAGTTAGGGGCTATGGCGATAAGTTGGTGTTTTTTTATATGTAAATTTCATCACCGCCATTTTTTATTAGTCTACCAAGGTCGATTAAACATTAGTTTTCGAGCATTTCGCTTTTTTTTCTTTTTTTCTTCTTTCACATCTGTTCGGATTCCGATCAGGAATACTCAAAATTTGTTTTCTCTAATTGGCCATTTCCTTTTTAGGGGTTTTGTTACTATAGGTGGATGTTGGCACCCACAAAATCACCCATATTACGTGAAGTTTTATTATCGGTTATAGGTTATCCCTAAAATAGTACGACGTACGTTGAGAAAGTGCTGACTACCGGGATATAGACTAAAACTAACTATCTAGCTATCCTACAACTCTATACAATCAAACTAATCACCAGATAAACCATCCTAAACCCTAAAGTGGAAGGCTTCGAAGGGAGGCGTGGAAAGACTTGGTCCAAGTTTTTAGAGCCTTTGGGCCTTAAGGGGATACTGCCGGAGCTCAGATAAATCTCCTTCTGGCTTAGATTTGTATTTTATCTTGAAAGTATCGATAAGTTTCAGTACTAACACTTTCTAGTTCTTCTATTCAGAATGTATCGCTTCTTTCGGGTCACGTGTTACGTCACTTCGTTGATCGGTAACTTAATGTTTGAATTCAACCTAAAATTCGTAGGTTATGTTACGGGTAAGAGACAATGATCAATTTATTGTTCGATCTAATTAGTGATAACAATAGATCACTGGTATTGTCAAGTATATATATAAGAGCAATTTAATACGAATAGGGTTCTTTTACTTGTCTCTGGTTTTCTTATAAGCAATAGCTTCTGGGACAGAGATTGGGTTTATTATGAACGATTTGAGCAATTATTTAAGGAACAGCTTCTACTACGATGATTTCGAAGTTTTTTTAAAACTATAATGAGTTATCTTTTATTCGAGACGAGCTAGAGGCGCTTATATACTGAATTTTTATAGACTACCATCGAGTCCATGGAGTCGATTTTAGCTAAAAATGGAAATTCCACCAAAAATAGAAAATAATTTCTTTAAAAAACTAAGCACAACCCAATTTTGGGTATTAACCATAGCTGCCGCAACAAAATTGGACCGGCAGACCTCGATTGATTGGCTAACGGCCGAGGATCTTCCAAATTTTGGGCCACATTACAAAATTATTTACTAATTTCTGGCCGGAATTAACTTTTTAATTTTTTCATTACAAAAATGGAAATTCTTAAAAAATAAGCCCGTATTATGGTAAAATTGACACAGGAACAATTTTTATTTAATGGGCGGCTATTATTTCATTAGTAAAATCACGAGTAATTTCCGGCCTAATTTTTTGATCCTCGCTCTTAGCCAATCAAAATCGAGACTGCCGGTCCAATTTTGTTGCGGCAGCTATGGTTATGCTACGCCAGATTTAACCCTCACAACGTACGCATGCAGAATCTGCAAATATAAAGGTTCCATAATTTTTCGCATATTAAACTTTTATTCAATATGGGGTGAATCTACGAAAATTTATAAAGCTTATGTTGCTGGGGATTAGAAACGCTATTCTTGATCATTACGACATTAAGGCTCATGTAAATTAGAAAAACAAGAAAATTAATTTGCATCAAGTTACTAATTTTTATGTCTAAAAGCCTTGCTTCTAATATCGTTAGTTGTTATAATTGCGTTTATTGCGGTATTATTATCAATTACATAAGTAGTAATCACGTTCATGTATATGTATTGTTCAGTTTATGGCCGCATTCACGTATTGTCACATGCACGTATAGCCGCAAAAATGGTTTTAAGTAGCGATGTGAGTGTACCAAAAATAACAGAACTTAATGCGCATAGTAAGGCAGTAAAATTCACATGGGTATGTGATATCCACTTTTGTAAAAACGATAGATTAGTATTAATATTTTGAATTGTAATCTATTGTTTTTTTTAATCGTTAAATTTATTTTGCCTAAGGTTTTATTTTTTATCTCAGTAAATGCTACTACTATACTAGTATAATCGTTAAAATACATTCGTAGATATTATTTTAAAAATGACTTTTTTTTAACTTGGTATACATGTCAAAGTAATTTCTAATCCATATAATAATATTGTTTTCCCATGCTCTTTAAACCTAGAAGCATATATTATTATTATTATTTAATTCGTGTATTTTTCTAAAGAAAATTGCTATTCGCGCCATAGATATTTATTCACACCTTGTATATAAACTATCTCAATTATATTACTTTTTTCAAAGTAATACGTACATCCATGGTGCGAATATACTTGTTGTCCAACTGTATTATAGTTTAGGTTTGTCTGCCCAAATATAAACACTGGCAAACTGATTACTCAAAAACTTAATTAATAATCTCTAGTCGTTAAACTAGGAGTTTGAGTTGCTTAAAGGGAGTTAGAACATTGAATTGTATTGGTGCATCAAGTATCAGACCTAGTTTCTATTACGTGATCATAGGAAAATAGTGCGGGCTTTGCATCGGTTTATGGGGTGTGCTATATTAAATGAGTGCTCGAGAGGGAAGCCTTATCCCCTGAAGAAATGTAATATTACGTAATTACTAATCAATACATATCTGTTTTCCCTTCATTAAAATGATAATGTACGTACGTACACAATCAATTTTTATAGTTCTTAAAAAGTTTCCTGAAATTTAAATATAAAAATATAAGGACTTTGTATTCCTAATACTTTGAACCAGTGTACGTAGATATGCATATGAATTATAGATTCCTCTTGATATACTCTATAGCGCTACAGTACCAATATTTCAATGCTAAATTATTTACGAAATAAGTAGTTGCGCAACATTATCGCGTCAAACCAGAAAGGGTGAATATGAATTTGATTTAAAATGTAAATGACTTCGATACTGAAAAGTTATATATAGCATCGGATTCAGATACTTAAATAAATAGCGGATACACAATAAGATAACTATTTTGATATGAAATGTTATAATTTAAAAAGAAATTTCATAAGTTTTAAGTGGAATATATAGATTTGCATGTTTTATAATGCATTTTTAGGTCAATCTAGTAGAAACTTTAAATGATTCAACTGCTGATAAATAATACAAATTACACAAATGGGACACCTACAGAAAAGCAGAGGATGGAACTATAAACATATAATCCTACTCCCTGCTTTTGCTGTGGGGTCCCCAAATAAGAAATTAAGTGTAGCATAGCAGCTTTAATGATTATTTCTCACAATTAACTTTAGCATATAAAAGAAGTATTTTTAGAACAATTTTGTAGTAGAGTCCAAGTCTACTACCATGACAGAAGCTCGTCTGATATCTATGTGACGGCTTATTAAATTATATATTTTAACTAGTTTTGATAAACTAAATTTAAATTTATTGGAATTTCTAACACACTAGATATTTATATAGTACCAACTGTTGTAATTATACATATAAATTTAAAAGCATTGATTTTAATTTTACAATCTTATATGCTTTGGTGTCTCTATTTGTATAAAACAGAAGAATTTATTTTTTTTGAGGTTCGATATTTAAAACCTTTCTCCAATATTGGGTGACAAATATCTATTAATTAAAATATAAAACTTAATATTTCGAAAAACTATGCAAATAATACCATATTTACAAAAAACCATATAATAATATATTTAATTACCTGGTTAGGATCCATTTGTTCTCTAATAGCCATCCACTGATTATACTTAGAGTATTTATTCACATCTACCTTATAATTATCTGGAATATATTTACCCCAATGACAACGATATTCAAAGCCATCAAATACTTTACAGCATTTCTCAAAAAATTCGTTAGGATCACCAACTTTATTTCCTAAAAAGTAGAAAAAATCAATACGAATCACATTCTCATAGTCATATGATGGGCTTAACCAAAATTCACTCTTTTTCGTAGTATAAATTTCAGTGGCATTGTTTCCCGTGGCACTATCTCCACTTGCAAAATAGTCTTTCAATTTATTCATGATCTCTGTATAATAATATCAAATTTTTATGTTAAAAAATATGAATTTAATATGATTATTAATACATCAAATACGTATTATTTACTATTAGTATCATCAGCATTTCTAATTTGAAACCATAATTCAGTAAAAGTGGTTGGAAGAATAGTGTCTGAAACCTAAGAGAAGAGTGAAAAAAGTTAGCTATTAACTAATTCTTAAGAGTTTGCTTTTATTTTATTTCATTTCACCTTGTCATCCATTGGTAGACCGTTATACCAAATATCCTGAAAAGCTTGCTGTACAACCCCTGAGAAAAAACTTAATATAAGTGCTGCAATCTTCCTGGTGGTATCATCATCAATAAGGTATAATATGTTCAAAGCTACGTAGGCTATATGGGCTATAATTTGTTCAGGAATTTGAGAACCTAATATTTCATTAAATTCTAGGTATGGCGCTGTTGGTTTAGTAAATCCTTTAAGATCTAAAACTTCTGTCCTTTTTGCCTTCCAAATAGTAAATCGATTAACATCGGTTTGTGGCCACCAGAGTAAACGAGAATATTCTGCATCATAATTGGAGCCATTAGCGAAAAAGTCGTATAAGCTAGGTACATCTTGAGGTTTGTTCGTAGAACCAAAAAGATCAATTGGACAGCCTTTTTGATAATCAGAATTTAATCCCTCGTCAACAAAAGTACTAACTTGGCTTCCATAAATATAATAATTTGGATTAAGTTTAAAAGTGACATAAGTGATGATTCCAAATAACCCCATTGAGACTCCGGCTGCAAAAAAATCATCATTTGGACGGGTCAGTTCTTTTAATTCCCCTTTACCATTGATTATATTAATACTAATGACTGATTCCTCAAGACTATACTTTGATGATCCACCAGACGATCCCGTTGAGAGAAACCCTCCAACAGTTTGATGAGCAATACCACCAAGATCAGGAAACGCATATCCACGTTCGTTAATAATGTAATTCAAGCTATTAGAAAGATTGGATGTATCGTCTTGCGGGTCTTGATTTAGATGAGTTCCAGCTTTAACCTTGACAGTATCATCGCTAATAAACTCTACGCCATTAAACTTCTTCAATGAAATAAGTACGATTTTCTTATTTTCTTTATCAATAATTGCATCTGAAATAGAATGTCCGGATCCAACAACTCTAACAATAGTATTTCCGTCCTTGTAAGCTTCCTCAACAATTTTTTGTATTTCTTCCTCGGTTTCAGGATAATTAGTAATGGCAGGAAGTTTCTCATTTCTCTTTTTACTAAGTTCTTCGAAGTATTTTGCAGCATTCTCCCCCAGGAATTTTTTTGTACTTTCCAAGTTGAAAAGTTCTGTGCGAAGTTTATCGATAATGGAAGTCTTTTCTTTGTCATCTTTTGCTTTAACTAATTCTTTGAGAGAATCTTCAAACCATTGTATATCAGGAACTTTTGGATTAGACATTGTTTCAGATATGAGCATAATCTTTTTCAGCCGTACCAAATTTATACTGTACGTACGTACGTACGTACCTTGTGATAGTGATTTAAGCCGACTATGGCAGCCGCGGCTAAACCGGCTGAGCCATGCAATGTAATATGATCGGCTGGCTAATGCGGCTAAAGATCATGTGATTCAGTATATAGTAGGATTCCGGTAAATTCCGAAAAGGAAAATGAATGAACATAAAATGCAAGGACGGGCTAAATTTTTGGAAAGTATGGTATTTGCCAGCCGTTAGCCAGCCGTTAGCCAGCCGATTAGCCGATATTTTAGTCGGTTGGCGACTAAAATCTTACAGCTTAAATCACTACCTTGTGATAGATTCATAGGAGGACTTTCATCTGATTGGCTGATGTAAATCAATTGCCCGGGTAACTTATTTATACGCTTTAAAGTACTTTTCGGAAACACAAACGTTTCACTAATAAAAGTCACCACAAACATCGTTTATAGCTTCAACAAAGTGTCAATATTCACTGTGCAAAAGAATCAAAAAAGAATCAGACTCCCGAAGAACTTTGCTTAGAAAACAAAATATAACCACCGTTTATTGGTCTATACGAAATTACTACACATAACAGTCGATCGAGATATCACACCTAATTTTTTATCATATGATTTTCATAAATTACACAAATCGACGAAA